ATTTGTTATTATTGTAATAATAAATTGTGTGGGTGATGAACGATTTAGGACGGTGCGAGCGTTTATGTTAGGCTCGAATATCGATAGCGCGTGAGGTGAAATTTGAATGCCATAGAAAATGTCTGCCTACTCAAAAGACTAGTTTACAACTCTCCAACATTATCTGAGTTGAAAAGAATTGCAGATATTTGGGAAAATGAAGATATAAAGCATATGATGTATACGGAGTATGCTGACCAAAGCAAAGGAAATACAAGATATTAACATGTGTTAATAATGTTATGTGTAGTGATAGTTATGTTAGTAGCTAATAAACATCATTACAATTTGAACAGTCCTTTTAATTTTACGTAAAACGTGAAAAATTCTGAAAATAGTGGTCCTAATTCGATATGTTTTGCATATGTCAAAAATTATCGAAAATGATATCAAAACATGGTTTTTTTTGATTCAATGACGATTGACGGCTTCCTATTGTCTGACAAGTCTGCTCTTAAAATTTCAAGGCAAAAGACTCAACATGGCAGCTTGTACAGGCAAATAGACAAACGAACAAATGTAAGTCGAGTCGTTATAAATTATTTGATGGTAAAATAGTAAATAACGTTTTCACCTTCTCCAAAATTAATCGATACGAGAATTGAGGTGTTGCTATAATTTATCGATATACGTATATCGATATATGTATATGTAAAACTGAGTTAGGTTAGTTTTTATAAAATGACGTATATGTAAAATTGAGTTAGGTTACTTTTTATAAAATGATGTATATAAAATTGAGTTAGGTTAGTTTTTATAAAATGATGTATATGTAATGTTGAGTTAGGTTAGTTTTTATAAAATGACGTATATGTAAAATTGAGTTAGGTTAGTTTGTATAAAATGATCTATATATAAAATTGAGTTAGGTTACTTTTTATAAAATGATGTATATAAAATTGAGTTAGGTTAGTTTGTATAAAATGATGTATATGTAAAATTGAGTTAAGTTAGCTTTTATAGATCAAGATTTAGTTTTTGTCAATTTAGGTTAACTTTTGTCTTTTAGATCAGATAAGATAGGTAAAGTAAGATTTTATTGAGGTTATGTTATATTTGTTTGTCTTATTAAGTCACGCCAGGTGAAGTTACCTTTCCAGACACAAAATTAGTTTCAAATCTATTACACCAGGTAGAATTACATACCGCTATAATTAAATAAATAAAACTGCATTTCAGCACGAAACACGGAAAGCATTTAATTAAAAAACGATACGATGCCACAGATCCCGACGACAAGTTCAATCTGTGTAATCACGAAATTCTAATCCTCGTGACAGCATTGAGCACAGCAGAAACTGAACTTTGCATGTTCACGGTGGTAACGAAAATTGACAGGGTATGAGTGACAAGCCATTATCACGCTAGCACCGCGAACTACGATCGACGGTTTATCGATCAAAATATTTCGATAGTCACGCCCTGGGAGACAGGCATCCATTCGAATTCGATTACTCGAACTCTTATAACTTTGCTGAACTTGTCCTCTTCATTTTAACCGCCACGAATTTTGGGATTGGTTTGCTAGCAAATGCTCATCATTATTATGCTGCGATATTCTACCTATGAAAATTTCTGGATTCTCACTTTTTAAATTAGAGAATTTCTTAATTGAGTGATTATCTAATTTTTATGTTGACAGACTCTCGAATTTCGACAAATTCGAAAATTTTTACGTTTTAAAATTTTGAAATCTTTTTAAGTACTGAAATTTAAATTTTTATACTTTCAAATTTCTAAATTTTCGAAATTCCCAAATTCACAAATTTCCAAATCCCCAAATTCCCATAGCTCCGAGTTCCTACATCACCGAATTCCCACATCCCTGAATTCCCAAATCCCCAAATTCCCACATCACCGAATTCCCAAATCCCCAAATTCCCACATGTCCGAGTTCCCACATCACCGAATTCCCACATCCCCGAATTCCCACATGTCCGAGTTCCCACATCACCGAATTCCCACATCCCCGAATTCCCACATCCCCGAATTCCCACATCCCCAAATTCCCATATTCCCGAATTCTTACATCCCCGAATTCCCACATCTCCGATTTCCCACATCCCCGAATCCCTATATCACTGAATTCCCAAATCCCCAAATTCTCAAATCTCCAAATTCCCAAATCCCCAAATTCTCAAATTCTCAAATTCCCAAAATTCTCAAATCTCCAAATTCTCAAATTCCCAAAATTCTCAAATCTCCAAATTCTCAAATCCTCAAATCCCTAAATTCCCAAATTTCTGAATTAGTACAGTTCCAAATTTCCAAAACGCCTCCAGCGGAAGGCGGACTTACAACCCATCGTGCAAAGCGGAATCGCAATAGCGCAGAAAATCCTGTAGCGTCTTGCGAGATTTTCGAAAGCTTTCGAGCCGATTCGCTCCCGAGGCAATACTCTTTGAAAAGCAACACCAAGCCGTGCCTCTCGAATTACTTTAACGCTGAAATTACTTCGCTCTCTCGCCCCCAGCTATTCGTTTAACTGCGAGAGTGGCTTCAGAAAAGCGGCCAGACTCGATTTCGCACTCGTCGCGATGCAACCGAATTCGTTGCCGGCAATTTAAACACTAATTTCCGGCCAGATCATTTATTATGACAGACGAGAAGGATAAGCTAATTTGCAGATTTTCAATGACTGCGGTGATTAAGAAAGCTTATCGCTTTTGTTCAACTTTCGAACGAAACATTATTTTTACAAGTACATAATTAAAGCAAATGCATTCATTAGTTACTGTTTATTTCGGTTGATTAAAAATGATAAAATAAGTAGTGGAAAATAGAAGTCATTACAGTTATGAGTGTTTTATTTGTTATTTTAAAGACTGTTAATAAGATGTTTGCTTGCAAGAACAATTGCAGATTTAGTTAATTCAATTCAGGCAATTCAATTCAACTAAAGGCATTAATGTCGTAAAGAGAATGTTTGATTCTGTATGGTAATTTTATTATTGTTTTGTCACAATTAATCTATTTTGAGAAAATTATTATTTATTCAATATTAACAAGATGATGTTATTAACAGTATAATAACTGGAACACATTCATTATACATATAAATCTTTATTATTCAGTTTTCGAAGTTTTGAAATTGAAGTTTTTCAATTAAAAATAGCTTTTAATCTTTAACAAGTCTGGGTTAAAAACTAAACTTTAGTATCTGATCATGAATGTCAATTCAATTAACTGTTACATTTTATCCATTTAACTGTTACATTTCATTCAAATATCAGTGACATTTTAATTCTCAATTAAAAAGTATTTAATTAGAGATTATAATTGATTAGTTTGTCGTAGAAGTAATTAAAAATTTAACCAAATACCAGATGTCATGAACTTCAGTTTCTTAATTTCTATCACCGTCCGAAGTTATGAAGAGTTAACGTTGCAATTTGCAGTTTTACAAAGTGCGTATTATGTAACAAACCTGTGTTACCAACCATGTTAAGATAATCATTGCACTTACGTAATACGATCTATAAGTGCGCGCTCACTCTACTTTACTTAACTTTTCCATTCGGTATTTAAAAATGCTTAAAAATGACTCATATTTTAATTATCCATATTTATCTATAAATAGTTATCTCCTAATACTGTTATTATATTTATCTATAAATATAGATAACATTGATAATTTCTATCACAATTTTTATGTTGCCAATAGTGCAAAGCCAGGACTACCAACATTAAAAATATGCTTTTATCAGATACCAAAAAACAATTTAAAAGATAGCACAAAAATATTTACAATTTTATTCCGGTACACAATTAAATTTTTTTATTACATTTCGTAAAGAAAAACTTAATTATTAAGTTTTGTTCCACAACTTTAAATCTGTAATGCTCCAAACAAAAGCAAGTTTATTATTTTTCGAGCTTCGTCTTTTCTTCTCATAGTTATATTGTATACACTGTGCAATTGTACAGACTTTAACAATAAATAAATTTATTAATTTAATAAGTATAAATTACTGATGAAGATACATTCTTGCACTTGCAGTTTAAAGACTTTATTTTATTCAGTAGATGACTACCATAAGCATAAAAGAAAAACACAAGATATATCTATGTTCTTTCGTCACATTAAGTTTGCATAAATAACAGTTCTGTCTTTTTTACATAATTTACATATTCATTTTAAGTATTTCGCAGTGACGCATACATGCTGCACATAGACGATATCTAGTTGAATCTATTCTTCATAGATGTCAGCATACTATTGTCATATTCGTTCACTGTGCGAGAACAAGTTTTCTAAGATTGCAACTCCAGTTAAAAAGTTACGTTTCTATTAACAAGTAACGTGCTGTTAATGAAAATTTTGTTTAAATGTTCAGATTCTATATACATTATAAATCTGCAAAAGGTGTTTACTTTAATTAGAGGTCCAAATAATATTACATCCAATGGTGCAATAATTTGATTATGATTTTCTGGAAACAACAAATGTACATTTAATAAAGCTTCAGAATTTTTGAAAAAACAGTTTTCGAAAGAAATTTGCAGAAATTGTTTGAAACAGTCAAAGAGGTTATTTTGTTTTAAATATCAAAGAGGTTATTTTGTTTTGAGAAATATATAACTGCATACGTTAATGTTACATAAACTATTTTATAAAATTGTTCACTGTTAATTACATTGAATTAGTTATATTTAAGCAAATAATAGCTTGATTGTGTAGCATAAGTAACACCTGTGAAAGAAAGCGCTAGTCGTTCTAACACTAACATCTAACGCGAATTAGTTGCAGTTATACTGCGTACTAATAGAATATGCATCATGGCGGACCAATCGTACGCGCATGCGCAACGCGTTTGGCTCGTAATTTCATTTTCATATCTCTTTACAATCTCCTGTGTAATATAAACGACAACAAATAAAGAACGTTATTGCTGTTAAAATGTGTCCAACATGTTTGACCAAAGACTTAACGAATTTAAGCGACGATTAGACGAGTTTGACAGCGAATGAAACGAACAAGAAAATGCGCGCCAAGATGCTCGCATCCTATTGGTTCAGAATATTGTGACAGGTCTTCGAGATCGTTCTCGAAACATCTCGAAACACTTAAAAGCTATATAGACACCCGCGATTGCACAATATGCCAACAGTTGCATTTCCACCCGCAACTATAACACGTCTAATACAAATTAACTCCAACGTGAAAGTAAATTGTGTCTTAAAGTTTTCCTGAGTTTTTCATCAAGTGCATTCTACCAAAGGATTATACCTTGATTACGGTTAGTGTAAATTATTGTTCCTTGTTAATGCTTTGAATTAAGAAAAATGCTTTCTTTCTAAAAGTCTCATTCTTTCAAATCGCCCTCTATTTCTCACTTTCTATCTCTATCACTTCTATCTCTCACTCACTTTCTAGCTCTATCACTCTGATAGTAAAATTGGATTTATTGTTTCTTACAGATCGAAGGACAACATAGCAAGATGACGAGAAAAGGTATGCAATGGTATTTTTATTTATAATGAGAGAATTGCTTTGGGGAAAAGATTTATGTGGGTCTTAAAAAAACAAGGAGAAAAAAATATTTAGTGGTATTCGTGGCACTAATGGTTATATATATTTGGAGTTCGAGATTGGGAATTCAAACGTTCGTTTACGAATAAGGGAAGCACTGGCATGTACCGGTTGCATCAGTCGCTCGGTATGAGTCATCTTTATCAATACCTGGAAATGGATGTTCAATGCTCCGAGTTTGATACTATTTTCTTTTGTGTTTACGATAACATCATGCGTATGAGTTATCGAGATAATCGTAACAATTCTGCACCTTTCATTAAACAATTAGAAGATTATTTTTATCAAATTGCTGAAGTCAAAGATAACACCCGACAGAAATTTTTAAACAATATTTTATTATCGTAGTGCAAGGTTCATAATAAAAGAATCAAAAATGGATATAAAATTTACACCTCTGTATTATTGAAATATAAAAAGAAGAGTAATTGTGATCAACGTACAAAACAACGAAAATATAATGAAAATATAAGATTATAAAAATATAGTATTTTATTATAATGCTTTCATGTTTCAGCAAATATGAAATACTTTTACTTTTGATATACAGGAAACAAGCGTACGCAAAAACAGCGCGAAGCATCTGGTTCTCAAGTACCGCCACATCAAGCTTCTAATGCACAACCATCTGCATTAGAACAACAACAACCTGGTGGTCAAAAACAGCAACAAACTGTTTTACAACAGCAGCAACAGGGGTCATCTGCCTCACAACGGTATCAAGAACCTATTGTTTCACAACAGCAACAACAACCTGCTGCACAACAGGAAGAACAGTCAGTTGCTTCACACCAGCAACAAACGCAGTGGCAACAGCGACCTGGTTCACAATTACAGCAATCTGACGTTTTACAACAACGACAATATGTTGCTCCACAACAGCAACAACAAAATGCTGTTCAACAACAGCAGCAGCAACAATTCATTGGTGCACAGCAACAACGACGATCTCTTGCACCACACGGGCAACGACGATCTCTTGCACCACACGGACAACGACGATCTCTTGCACCACACGGACAACGACGATCTGTTGCTCCACAGCAGCAACAGCAAACACCAGCCTTGAAGCAACAGCAACAGCCATTGGCTCCACAACAACATCATACATTTGCTCCACAGCAACAACAGCAACCACCAGACTTAAAGCAACAGCAGCAGCCATTGGCTCCACAACATCATACATTTGCTGCGCAGGAACAACATCCACAATCAACTGTTACGCAACAAAATCTGCAATTAACTTCCCAGCAACAACATCAGCAATCAACTTCTCAGCAACAGTATCAGCAATCTGCTTCGCGGCAGCAACAAACCTCAATTTCGCAACAGCAACGTCAGTCATCAACTTCGAAGGAACAAAATCGATCAAGTCCGGAGCAACAGCAACAAATTATTCCAAAGCAACCACAGGTAAATAACAATAGTAAATTATTCTAATACAACTACAGATACCACCGATTTCAGACGAGGGTTTCAAATAATTAAATTGATAACTAATTATTAATTAATCGGTAGTTAATAATGTTATAGTTAAAATTCATTGTTAACGAAATGTATCATAATTAAGAATCAAATTGTCATCAGTTAGGAACAATTACTATTCGATTACAATTACATCATCGATTACAATTTGATTGATTAATTCTTAATTACCCTAAATTTTTAGTGTAAATATAAATTTCGAAACACAGTTTCCGATATAATAAATTCAATGTTTTCGCTGGAACAGCTCATCTCAATTTCACTGTATCGTTTGACCAGGAAACTGCTCTCAGTAGAAGAAGCGGAAACGGAAAATCTAATTTACCAAGTGATTTAGTTCAAATGTACTTAAACCAAATCCCATGCAATACCGGAGGTGGAAGACAGGGGAAGAAAATCCAGGTGTTAACAAACATGTTCAGAATCAATTTCGGGAAAAATTTTCCGGATACTATTATGCACTATGACGTTGTTATTACACCAAATGTGACGAAGTCTTTGTTCTACCAAGTTTTTGAGCAATATAGACTGAAACACTTTCCAAATATATTCCTAGGGTTTGACGGCAAGAAGAATGCATATGGCAGAGTTGATCTTCCGTTCGGTGATCAAAGCGTAAGTGATTAATAAGTTCATATAATTACTCACACTATTCGAACACAGTACTATTCTGGTGTTTGTACCTTTGCACAAAATGAGTTATTTTAGATATGATATTACTTATACTGCAGAGAGGTGAATTATTCATTACAGATTAAAAGTATATCAAATTCTTTTTGCTATAATATTCAGTTGAAAAATGCTAAGCAAAATGCAATTTTTTTTGTTAATATGACAGTGGTACGTTTTCTGTAAGCTAACAATATTTAGAACTCTTTTGAACTGAGAGATAGGTCTGTTCCGTACAAACGTCTGAAATGTAATTCTACTTCGGTGTAAGGTTGTATTCTCAAGAGTAAACAACTGTAATTTAAATGTAACGAATACCAGTTTTGACAAGAGACAATTTGTAATGTATCACACAGGGAAAGGTAAAACTTACCGAGAAATAGCACAGTTAGTAATGAAGCAGAGTATAATAGCAGACGTTAAAAGATGTAAGGAAAATCGTATCGAATTTAAGAAAACCTCGAATTTTGAATGTAAGCGAAAAAAGAAACTTAATACGAAAAATTAAAAAAAATCTGCAGTGAAGTATAGCTTCAGTTTGTCATGAAAGTGGAAAGAAAATCAGTGCTGAAGCTGTGCGTAGAATAATGAGAAATATAATGGTCGAATAGCAAGAACACATTAATGACTAATCGGAAAAGACTGATTTTTTCCCGGAAAATTTGCTGAAAAGTCTCAAGATTGACGGAAGGATGTTATTTCTGCTGACAGGAGTAAATATTGTATCTTTGGTTCATATAGGAAAGGTGTAATGTAGCGAAAAGACGGTCAATGTTTCATATTTTTGGAAAATAAACAATATAACATATAAAACATCCCTTAATGCAATAGCAAACACAGAGTACTGCAGTGACCGAATAATGTGAGAAACTCTAAATAGAGTCGCATAATTCAATACATTTTACCCCGCAGATAGAAGACGAAGTAACAGTTTTTGACCCGGTGAAACAGCAAGAACGTGTTTACAAAATGTACCTGCAGAAAGCAGCAACGCTTGATATGTCATGGTTGAAAAATCCAAGAGGTTTAACAGACAGCGAACGAGAGCAAAATTGCATACAAGCATTGGCTACTATTTTCCGTCATGGACCCGCGTATCACTTTACTCTGGTAAATTATTTCATAATTCTGTTTATGCAAAAAATAAAAAATCTGAATATTTCATTTCGTGGCCATGTAATACAATAATCGAGAGAAATTTTCGAACGAGAGCATATTTAAATATAAAGCCACATTTTACCGTTCGATAATTTATCGTCCTACAATTATATTACTTCAACAATGTTCAAGAATATTGTACGCAATAATCACAGTATAACTATTTGCAATAGTATAAACGTATGAATTGATGTAGTATCGTCTACACAGGTGGGCCGATCGCTTTATCAAAAGCCAGAAAGAGAAATACCTTTAGCAGATGGCTATAACTTGTGGACCGGTGTATTTCAATCGGTACTCGTTAGAAACAGAGTCTATTTCAACGTCGACGGTAATGTATTCACACATTTACTTGCGTAACTATCTTATATGTATAAACTTGTATCATACATGCACAATACATTTACCGGAGACTTTATCAGCATTCAATTGATACATGTTCAATATGATTTACACGCAGTGGTTTACAAGGCATTCCCCAAAGAGCAATCTGTTATTGATTTCCTGAAGGACGTGTGTAAACATCCTAGAGACCCAAAACCTCTATCAACTTTACAACCGGAAATTATTAAAAAAAATGAACAAAAAATAAACAACAGTTTAAAGGGGTTAAAAATACGATATGAACTGCCTGGACAACCCACAACCAGAAGAGTTTATGCTATTAATAAATTAAGCGCATGTCCAAGAGAGAATAAATTTTCTCTGCAAGATAATACGATGTGCACAGTGGAACAGTACTTTTTGAAATACAAAAACTATACTATAAAGAATCCGGAACTACCATGTCTTTGGGTTGGACGTATGGAGAAACACATTCATCTACCTATGGAGGTACACGAAGAATTTCTAATCCCAAATCGTTAATTCGAAGAAATTAGATAATTTTCTATTATTATCTTTACAGCTGTGCACGATCGTTGAGGGACAAGCAACCATGAAAAAACTGACTGAAAATCAAACGACTAAAATGATTTTACACGCTGCGGTCAATGCTAAAGAACGTTCAAAAAGAATCACGACTGCTGTAAGCACTTGTAGCGTTTAGACATTCGAAAAGTTATGTTTTTAATTCTAATATGATATGATTGCAGCTTGAAAGCCTGAAGTTGGATGAACAACCAATCTTAACGAAGGAATTTCAGCTTTCCGTAGACGGACAATTCGAAAAAGTACCAGCTAGAATTCTTGATGCTCCCAAGTTAGAATATTCTAATGGAGAAGTTGCCGTGACTGGAGGAGAATGGCGATCACTAAAATTTTACATTCCGTGTAATTTGCCAGATGAGTCATGGACTATCGTGAATTTGGATAAATTTGTAAAATACACTGAATTATACGAATTTCAAGAAACGCTACGAAGGGAAGGTATGATATTAAAATTTTATGTATTTAAAATTCGTATGCTTATATTTGCATTTGCAATCTTAAATATTTGCAATTAGGATCAGTGTGAGTTTTGGAAAAATCGTGAGTTTCTGCAGGGTGTAATTCGTACAGGGGGTGATTTAGTAAAAATTTCTTCAAATTTTGTTTTCGAGAAAGCTGAAAATGTTTCAAAATGTTTGCACATCTCGTAATAGCGCAATGACATACTCAATAACATTTACTAATTAAAATTGACTATTTTAAGTTAAATTTAAATAACTTTCGTTAAATAAAATTTCTGTAAAATATCGTAACTTTCACTTTCGTGGACCATCAAATTCCAAAGCTCTAAAATTTCAGAACTTTCAAACTCCACACTATACTCCACTGTAAGATGTTTTAATATTAAAATCTTTTTCTTAGCTGAAAATGTAAATATGAGAATTGGCAAAGCACTGACTCCTTTTTCCACCGTAACCCTACAGAGGAATAACCTTACTGACATTATAAAATGTCTTGAAGAGAAAAAGAAGAAACAGCTAAAATTAGTAATAGTTATAATTCCTAATTTTGATGATGCATACAGTGAGTACCACAATTTCTACATTTTGCAAATTACAATTAGTAAAATCTTACGATATTTCAAGGTAAAGTGAAGCAAACTGCAGAACTGACAGTGAGGGGCGGTGTACTCACTCAGTGTATAAAATCGAAGACTTTGTCGAGAATGAATAAGTCAACGGCCATAAATATTTTATTGAAGATAAATTCGAAACTTAATGGCGTTAACCACGTTCTAGCTCCTACTTCTCGGTAATTAATTATAAGAACTTCACTCTGAGAACCTTGACCATAATATATTTTTTAGAGATCAATGTTCTGAGCAACTTTTATATTTCTCAATCTTTCTGTGTCAATAACTTGTTCATAAACAATGACCGAAGAGAAACTTAACGAAAAACTTAAGAAAAGGTCAAGGTCAGAGCAACGTCTGCTCGATCCATTTACCTATACTCATGTTACTTAATTTAAATTACTATTAGCAAATATTTTTTTTAGACCAAGATGTTTAAATGAACCGTGCATGTTGGTCGGTGCAGATGTAACGCATCCTCCGCCCGAAGATAAAAACAGGCCTTCGATTGCAGCCGTAAGACATCTTTAATTTAATTTTACATACTTACTGTACATATTCAACAATCGGTATTGTTTCAATATAGGTTGTTGCGAGTCATGATCTAAACCCCTTTCAATATAATGCTAAAATTAGACTCCAGCCACCAGGAACAGAGCACATTCAGCATTTGAAAGAGATTATGTACGAGCAATTAAAATACTTTCAAGACAGCACAAATTGCGAGCCTAAAAAAATTATTTTTTATCGGTACGTTTAATACACAGGATTATTTTATTTAATATATTTAATACAATATATTTGGTGATCACGGTTACGGTTCCTTTGTGTATATCGACAGGGATGGTGTGGGCGATGGACAGCTCCCGGAGATCATGCATTTTGAATTAAACGCAATAAGGAAAGCTGTTGCAGAATTCAAAGGAACTAGCGAAGACCCGATTCCGATCATATTTCTTGTAGTTCAGAAGAGACATCACATTCGTCTTTTTCCAACTGATGGAAATTGTGATAGGAATTTTAACGTGCTACCGGGTACCATTGTTGATACAGAAATTACGCATCCTAAGCATATAGATTATTATCTCGTATCCCATGCTAGTATTAAGGTGAGTAGTATTCATGTTACGGTATATCAAGGTGATTGAGTCAATATTTCATATTGCTAGTAAAATTAAATCTCAGTTATCGTGCTGTTGGAATAATTTAAGATTTTGAAGGGGAGTATTTGAAATTGGTACTGATTTTAAATTGGTATTGATTTTAAATTGGTATTGGTTTTATTTTAAATTGGTGTTGGAAGATTTCTCGGTTAATATTGAACTTTGAATAGTTCAAGGATTGATTAGACATGTGACAAATTTTGATAATAGGGTACTGCTCGACCGACAAGGTACAGATGTCTCTGCAATGAAAGTAACTTATCAGAGGATGATCTTCAAGAGTTAACGTATTATCTTTGTCACACGTACGCACGATGCACGAGAAGTGTTAGTTATCCTGCGCCCACATACAATGCTCATTTAGCAGCTTACAGAGGCAAGACTTTATTTAATGAGTAAGTTACACATATTATTAACCTTAGTTAGTTATTATTAACCTTAGTCTTATAGTATACTTATAATTTATAATTTGCGCAGATATCGTGTGGGGGACCTGACTGGAGCGCGAAGTAAAATGAACATACAGATGTTTGACAATCCTATGTATTTTGTGTGATATTTCCGTTGTGGAAATAACACGGATCATTTAGATTGAAATTAACATAGATCATTTAGATTGTAAGATATCATCTATTAAGTTCTATCATATTGTTCGTCACTTTCAATTATTTCAGTAGTAATTTCATTTCCAGTAAATCTGGTAAACACTTTTTATATTATTTAACCATTTTTATAGAAAAACTCCTCATATATTTAAAAAATTGCCTTTAAAATTATTATTGATATTGTATTATTAACTTCTCTCATTATTGTTCCATCATATATAAATAACATTTTAACCCTTTAACTGCGGGGGTAGTTCATAAACTACGTGTTGAAATTATAGTCAGAAGTGGGTTTGGTATATAAATAACAAGATAATTTTTGCTAATATTAAATAGTTCAGATCTAAAAATAAAATAAAAAAAAACTTTTATAATAGAATATTAGTTTAGTAATATGATTAGATTAAAATTAGTTAAGATTAAATTAAAATCTTAAATTAAAATCTTAACCAGCAGTTAAAAGGTTAAGTGTCATTTTAAATCATTTTAGTTAGTAATATCGTTTTCAGTAAGACTGTAAACAATTTTTAACGTTTTTTATAGGAAAAACTTTCATATATGTAAAAAAATTGTCTGTGATATTGTTACAGATATTGTATTATTAAATCAATCATATACACATAACATTTTAACCCTTTAACTGGGGGTGTAGTTTATAAACCACATAGCTAATTTTTACTAGTATCAAATAAGGTTTATATACCATTAAAAATAAAATGAATAAAAAAATTTTTTAAATAGAACATCAATTTAATAATAAGGTTAGATTAAAATTAGTTAAGATAGAATTGCAACTAATTAAAAAAAGTACAAAAAAAGCCGGCAGTTAAAGGGTTAAGCATTTTAAATTATTTTAGTTAGTAATTTTGTATTCAATGAACCTACTAAACAATTTTTATATTATTTCATAGTTTTTTATAGGATTTTTATATATTTAATAAAGTTATCAGTAGTTTATAGTGTAATGCATTTTGTTTAACATCTATGATAACACTATCAAACAGCCAATTGGCGTTTCTATTTTCGTTCATTATTTCTTAAAATTCCAAATATCCAATTCTTCTAAATCTCCTAAATTTCCAAATTAAATTTCTATATCTCCCAAATCTCTAAATTACATTCTCAATTTTCCAAATCTCCAAAATAAATATCCAAATCCCCCAAATCTCCGAATCCCGATAAAAAGAAAAATAACACTAGATGAAACGTGTACGAACTACAATTTACAAAATAAACAAATTGCGCAAACATCCAGGAAACATCGTAAAAAATTCCCTAATTTTTAACCACCATAACAGCGTACCAATTTGTCCAGCAGTACGTACTTGAATATTTCATGTTTCAAAGAAGCGAAAAAAATATCAGGTTCCGCGAATACGCATTGTTTTAATCCGCAAAACGTTGAATTTGTTAAATATTGCCAGTGTGTTGTGGACATCTCGAAAATTATATTCCGCGAAATTAGATCGTTATATGGAAACAAAGAACTCGAGGTCACTGCGAATGGCACAGTGAGGAATGTAATAATTATACATATTTTCCCTGAAAAAATATTCGTTCATTCATCAAATTTATGAATGGTGTACCAGTTTTTGCGGGGTAACTTTTGGCCTCGCATTTTTAAAACGGATTTTAGAAATTTCGTTGCATGAAACGTAAGCTGATGTTTTTACAAATCATTGTATTTATAAATTTTTGTAATACAGTTATGCGATTAGTTTTCAATAATATTTTAATAACGTTAATAATTATTATTGAATTTAATATATAATTTTCAATATGATTATTGATTGATTGATTTAATATGGGCCTCGACTGCTATGATCATTGGCCCAAATATTATTACTGAATATTTAATATAAAGTGATTATTGAAATATTAGAAAATTATATTTAGAAATTAATTAACTTCTAATTCATTTATTAGAAATTAATTAATCGATGTCTGAAATCAATCATTATCAGTCAAATATGCAAGTTGATTATAAAATTCTTGAAATATGTATAATTGGAAAAGTTCCGCAGAAGATTCTCAAAGTTCATCGTTTGATCGACTTTATAGACGCGTATAATTAATATCATCTATTATTACGTATCGAAGTTTTGTCTTTAAAGATTACGAGATGAAATCCTCCTGTTCTGGCGTTATTACGTATCTTTAATTTTTAAGAAACAATTTATATTAATTTATAAGAAATAAATAGTATGAAAACATTAATGAGGAATTATCACGAATACGTACAAATGTTGAACTATAATATTAATACGTAAATTACAAAATCAAATCTTTGTATTCCTATTTTTGGAAAATAAAAATGTTTAACATTTAATACCTGCAAATTATTAATTATTGTAATAAAACTTATAATAAATCTGCAAATTATTAATTATTGCAACAAAATTTATAGTAAATTTAATTTTCTTTTAATTTTAATTTTTTCAGTATTAATACTTTAATTTCTATGACTGAATTTAATTTAATGAAGAAGAAAATATTTTAAATTACCAGCTTGTAATATAAGTTTGTAGCGTTTCTTTTTCCTCTCGAAATAAAATCTGTTGCGATGTAAATTCATTCACGTTAAACGATTAGCTGCTTCATTTATCTGTAAAATTTCTTTATTATATTTTTTACTTCAAATTGAAATTATGAATTTCTGGCTCGGTCGATACTGGGTTGAAATCTCTTTCTCATTACAGAATTACAATCCAATACGCTTCAATACAGAAATTCCTTAAATTAAACCTTAAATTCCGTAAATTCATCCTTTAATTGTTTGTAAGACAATAAATAAAGTACTTATAACACTTGTAAGAATTTGATCTATAGGTTTAATTACCATTTTGGACAAAATTATTTTAAGTCATTTTTAATTTAGTTCTTAACAAAATTATTTTAAATCATTTTTAATTTAATTTTGAACAAAACCATTATAAATCATTTTCAACGTTTTTAATTTAATTTTTTATAAAATCATTTTAAATCATTTTTAATTTAGTGTTTGACAAAATTATTTTAAAGCATTTTTAATTTAATTTTTAACAAAATCATTATAAATAATTTTCAACATTTTCAATTTAATTTTTAACAAAATTATTTATATCATTTTCAATTTAATTTCAAACAAAACCATTATAAATCATTTTTAATTTAATTTTTAACAAACGATTTTAAACATTTTTAATAAATGAAGAATTGTTGAAACGAAGAAGAAGTAACGTAAACAAGGTTTACATTTATCCTATTTCATTTTTTATCACTGTCACAAAAGATGAACTCTGCTTCCTCTCTACGATGAATACAGCTTTTTCGATATTTTTTTCTTTCGTTTAAACCGGCGAGCCCGAAATCACCGGAAATGGACGCGAGAACATTCTTCCTCCTCGGTGTAATGGAACTTTTTGGTATTCGCGACACTGTCGAGGTGACTTCCTTAAATTTTCACTCGAAGATTACTTACGAAACGACGCTTTATTTTCTGCCAGAACCATTTCCTCGAAAGTATTATCGTGTAGTGCGGAAAATTACGGTTATAAGTCTGCGAAATGTTAGTGTCCTTCCCATTTTATAAAAACAACTGCGTGTAACGCTTTCAGCTATATATTTCGATCAGAGAATATCTTTTTATGGGTTATAATTTTATAAATAATAAAAATAATTTAATAACTTTTATAGCATAACAGTTTTCTCCAAACATTTGTTGTTCAGTTCTTGAATTAACAAAAATTTCAGTAAAATTATGTCGCGAATATTGAATAATAATTTTAAATTTGTTTAAACTTGAAACTTTCAAAAGGTTTAAATTTAAAAGAGGTAAACGTATTATTTAATTATTAACTAATTTGTTATTAAATTTTGTAAATTTCTAAATGTGAGAGAGAATTGTGTCAAAACTCTAAGAGATTATTGTATTTAATTATTAATGTATCAAGCGATTATTGAATTGAAATAAAGTAACCTTATAAAACCTGAAGAGGTAATTATTACCTTAACAGATTTAAAACGAATATTAATTATGAATATTGACGATTTAACTACAAAAATGTTAAAGAATAGTTTAATTACGAATAGTAAAAAATAATTTGACAATGAATATTAAAAAATTTAACTATGAATATTAAGAAGACAAACGGCAGAAATTAAGTGATCTGATTTAGCAATTCAGTTAACCACCGCATGCGATTGAGGTTAAGGTTCGGTGTCAATCATTCGAACAAAACAGACATTATGTACATGCAACTATGAAAACAAATTGTCTAAAAATTGACAATCTGTTTATTAAAGTGATTTGAAGTTGTCTTTCATGCTATTACTTTATTCTTACCCTTAAAAAAAATACAGTATTCCAATTTCATATTTTAATCTTAAATAATGATGAATGAATGATGCTACTATAAAAAAGAAAACAAATTCAGCAATTTTTATAAGAAATTTTAATGGCATAGAGTTTCAGGAAATACGTCATACTTTCATCAAAATCCTTTTCCGTCCACTTTGAAAAGAAATTTAAACCCAAGTGACCCTTCCGCGGTGCACTTTGATACTTCTTTTTAACGAAAGTACTTTTCTATCAGATTGACCGTTGGTCTCTGAAATCCATTATTTTTCCGTCTACACTTTCATACTGTTATCCCCCCGAAAATTCGTTTCTGTCGTAAAAACGCGTCCACGAACAACACGAACATGTCTTGAAAGCGAACGATCGATGTGAACGACTCGAAAGCTGTGTCTTTATGTACAAAGAAAACAGTTCTTGCAGAACGTGGCGCCATTATATCAACGAGGAAGTAACGAGTACTCTTTCTAATTAAATTTTCCACCATGACAAGTATAATATTTAGTGTTTCAAATTCTGGAAGAAGGTGGAGACTGTTTGGTATTCGTTTTGCTATTGGAGACCACGTGGGAAGTTGAAGAAAGTGTCGAAATTTTAAAGTTGGCTTTGGTTACATTGCACTGGAAATTTTGGAAATTCTCAATACAGCTCAAGTTTTTATTACAATTTACCAAATGTATATATAAGTTTTATAACAATAACACAAATGTTTAGTATAACGAATCAAATTTTCAAACTTAACGAGTCGAAATTTTATTTTGGACATTACATATTGAATATACTTAATTTTTGTTACTTCTGGTATGAGAATGAAATCAACAATTAAAATTAAAAGAAAACGAAATCAATCAAGTTAACAGATCATGTGAAATGAAATAATTTATTTTCTTCTTCTTAAGAAATTGAAATCATCTAAAACATTGTTTGCTATGAGTAATAATAATGACACAAATTTAGATGGCGAAATGTGGTGAGCCAGCCTGTATAAATTGCGTTTAAATTGTGTATTATAACCTTTTTGCAAAAGTACACATTAATCAGATAGGAACAAAAATAGAGAGAACACGACTTTCCATACATATATTCATCCACAAATAACTTTTCCTTTCATTCGAACCCCTTTAACATTGAACCGATGCACTCGCGAATGGTGAATGTATAGAGTGTCCTACGTTCAAACGCAATTCGCATTCACTTATCGCCAAACTCAAAGTAAACGCCAACTTCTAGATGGAGTTTGCTAAATTTGCACATCAAACACTGGTAACTGAAGTTCTCCAACATAAAGAAAATGGTTACTCACGTACGGTGAAAAATAGCGGCACACTTTTTACTTCACACTTTATTTGCACTTTTTAACGGGCGATCGATTTACGAAAGTTAGGTTCACCTTTAACCCCTTCGCTACGGCACATTTCGCCCATAAATCGACCACTGTGGAGAAGTAATTGCAATACGATAGTTGACACGTTTTATCAGTTAACTTTTTATTAACTTGTATTATTTTTACGTGTTAACAGATATAAATAATTGAAAAATATTCTGCTTGTATAATTCGATGTTAATATTGGGTATTGTTCTTGTGTTTAGTATGCTTTAGGTTAGATTAATATCAGAGCACGTACAATAATATTTTCTAGGAATATATATTTGAATATTAAATAACTGATTTGTTTTCATATTAAGTATATTTTGAGCTTGTAGATTGGACAATTATTTGATCTTCAGAACATGGAGTACGTTTGTGGAAATGTATAATGCATAATCAAAATTTGAATTTTATTATACAAATCTAAAAATTTTCAAATATGCATATCTGTAGGTTTATAAAACTTCAAATTTCTACAGTATGAGGACTCAAATTGAGATTTGCTAATTTGGAGGCTTGAAGATTTGATAGTTTGGAGTTTTCAAATTTATAGATAAGAAAATTAGGAAAATTGGAAACGTGAGAATTTAAAATTTAGAAAATTTACTGACAATTTAAAAATTTGGAAATTAGAAAATCTGGAAATCTGGAAGTCTGGAGATCTGAAAATGTGCAAAGTTAAGACATTTTTGAGTATGATAATTTAGAAGTTTGGAAATTCGGGAACCTACAAACTTGAAAACTTGGAAATCTGAAAATTGGAGAACTTGGTAACCTAGAAATTTGGAAACTTGGAAATAAGATAGTTTGAATACCTTTATTCAAGTTTAAAAGTCTCAAACACAGTTATTATAATTATTACAAACGGCTATAACACCGGCAGTGGAACTGTAGATTACAAATTCTGAATCTTCAGAGTCCCAGTTTTGTATGGTGCTTTCGACTATGAAAATAAGAGGACGAATACTGTCAGGAATGGAATTTTAGGATTGAGATTAGTGAAGAAAAGCAAACGCATATCGTCAACAACCCTCGACTTGGCGCGTAGGAGGTCGACCCACAGCAAAGGAAACTACTCGATCACTTCTACCCACATCTTGAACAGTCCCACTATGACGTTCTGACGTCCAAGACTACTGCTTCAGACGTCCTTGTTCTTTTGTTCAATTGTTATATATGACCGATATGTGAGCAATCATTTTGGTATATTCGTTTTTTGTTCAACTTTCCCACGCCGTAGCATTGATAAAAATATCAATGATACCTCAAAATACCTCCAGATTTCCAGATTTTCTAATTTCCAAATTTTTAAATTACCATTGAAAAATTGATAAATTCTCAAGTTTCCAAATTTCCTAATTTTCTTATCTATGAATTTGGAAATTTCCAAACTATCAAATCTTCAAACCTCCAAATTAGCAAACCTCAATTTGAATCCTCATAATCTAGTTTATAAATCTACAGATATGCATATTTGAAAATTTGTATATCTCAAAAGGCAATATTAGTAATCTACAGAAAATTGAATACAAATATATTCTAAATTATTAGAGATTGACATGAAAGTAGATTTGCTCGATATAAATTTCCCGCTCGTTTGTACAACAAGGCCTAATTTAAAAGGACAGCATAAATCAGAGATCAAAGGTGCAGATAAAAAGTGTCGCCTCTGGTTTACTCTGTGCTATTATGTTGTAAAAACAAACTCATATTGGAGACATATCATCTGGTTCTTCCTTCTGCGCACCAACTTGAAGATTGCCAACAGCAGGTACTTGAAAAATATGGTTAGAAGCACCGAATATGAGCCTGATCGTACTAGATTGCCCAAAAACAAGGTTTGATTACATGAATATTGGAATGAGTTCATTGGAACGAACGTTCAGGAATTTGGACAGAAATGCAAGAATGACCTGATTTTTCGGAGCTGAGAGTTGATTAGGATAAGTGCAAGTCGGTGGTGGAACGATTCACAGGACCGATACTTACGGATGATTATTTTCCGTACCATCTCGATATGTATGTGTTCGTTTCTTTCGACTGAAAAAACAAAGCAAGACATGAGTACAGCAAAAGACCGTACGAAGGAAAGTCGCTCATGTGCATCGGGTTTTGAAGAAAGATTCCCTTGTGGATTGTGGAGCTGGAATTCATCAACAGAATCTTCTGTAAGAGGCGAATAAAAGGAGGTTGTGTCGGAACATGTTATTACGGAGACTATAATAGTACAGACGAGGGTCAATTGGATTAGAAGTTACAGTTAACATGATTACAGGACTGTGATAATAAAATCACGGGATAATTAGATTTAGGGGAGTAGGAATTTTGGGGATGTAGGGATTTGGGGATGTAGGGATTTAGGGATTTAGAGATTTAGGAAGGTGGGGATTTGGGGATGTAGGGATTTGGGCATGTAGGGATTTAGGGAGGTGGGGATTTGGCGATGTAGGAATTTGGGGATATAGGGATTTGGGGATGTAGAGATTTGGGGATTTATAATTTGAAGATATAGAGATTGGGAGATTTAGGAATTTGGGGATATAGGAATTTGGAGATTTAGGAATTCTGGGGTGTAAGAATATGAGGAAATGGAAATTTAAGGATTTTGGAATTTGGGCATGTGGAAATTTGGGGAAGTAGAAATTTGGGGATTTGGAAGTTTGGGGATGTGAGAATCTGGGAATGTGGGAATTTGGGGATGTAGGGATTTAGGGATATGGAAATTTGGGCTTTTAGGGATTTGGGAATGTAAGGATTTGGGGATGTGGAGATTAAGTGTTGTAAGGATTTGGGAATGTGAGGATTTAGGGATGTGGAGATTTGAGGATCCAGAAATCTGGAAATGGAGGGATTTGAGGAGTGTAAAAATTTGGGGATATGGAGATTTGAAAATTTAGACATCTAGGGATGTAGGGATTTGAGGATATGGAGAATTGGTAATCTAGATATCTGGAGATGTAGGGATTTGGGAAATGTAAAAATTTGGGAACCTAGACATTTAGGTGTATAGGCATCTAAGGTTGCAGAGATTTTGGGATATGGAAACTTGGGGGTCTAGATTTGGAGATACATAGATTTTAGAGTTTAATCCCTTGTACTATAAATTATTTGTCAGGTGCGTCAGTCAGAACTGACTAATTACAGTTACAATATTAAAACAGACAAAAAAATTTGAAATGTTATGTCAATATGTTATTATACAATTGTTTCCTATGCAAATTATAATTGTACTTAAACTCCAAATTGAAGCGTACTAAAAATTCTATTAAAATTAATCACGGCCGAAGTATGAGTGCGTCACGACTTGTCAAAATAGTGCAAGGTGTTAAATCTTTTAAAATGTAAAAATTTAAAAATTTTTAAAATACTTCTTTCCTTTTTGCTTTCTATTTTTAACAATAAACCAAGTATAAGCAAAGAAAGAAACGTAAAAAATTCGATTACCAAATGGTAAGGCTACTAGTTACTAATATAATGTATACGCGCCCTAAGGTCCTGCTAGAATGCCTTACTGACAAGTTCACTGTCAGCTCTCCGGCAAAACTCCCTTTTTTCTTTTCCGTCATCTTTCTTCCAGCTATCAAGTATAATATTTCCCGAACTATTGTGCTTTATGATTATTTCTCATTACGATCATATGTTTGTACGTTACTTCAAAAAGCAAGCACATATCGCATAAAATCAGCGTGTACCGGTTTTTGGGGTTAGTTTCGTCGGCTCCGTGGCGCGAAAAATAAGTTTGGTCGCACGAACGCACGCGGACGAGAAAACGGCGGCAATAGGGCGTTACGATACGTTGCGTCATGTACCAGACGGTTTTCCGGATAGGACAGTAATTTGGCGGCGC